ATGATGCAGTATTTGGACCCTGACAGTAGTGAATGAGAAAAACAATTATGTAATTTGAGATTTAAGGTATTTCTAGCCCATTTGTTTCAATTTTTTCACCCTTTTTTGAAAAATAAATATTTGCTACTGTAAAATGTCTACTTTCAGTTTCTGCAACACATTTTGTCAAAATACCCATACATAACCCTCAAAAATGGGATTGAAAATCATAATCCTGATTAAATTAAAATCTTCCCATAGCAACCACCCTAGCAATGAAATTCATGGCAATTTGCAGTCTCTTTGGGGTAATTTTCTAAATTTTTGTGATACAGACTCTTAAGAGACTACAATAATGCTGAAACTGTTTGCTAACTTCACTCTGGTGAAACTAACAAAGCTTCAAGTGAACAGTGTTCAACTCCATGTGATAATTCTCTGGCTACTATGTTCACTCCTTTGTCTTTTACAAGTTAAATCCCTCACTGTAAGGTTTTATTTACTGTTTAAAGAGCTGGATGAATTTTCCCTTCATTCTACACTGAAGAAATTTCAATGGCAAAGAAGAATGTCAGAAGAAAAAAATGAAGGTTCCATGGGATCCAGCACATTGAGAAGCTAATGCCTAAATGTAGCAGAACTTGAGGATGGAAAATTGTTAAAGTAATGGTGAAACATTGAAGTGATGGAACTTTCATTTGTAATCACGTTCTTCTCCATTCCAGCTTTATCCCTACCTGATCAACAAAACCAATTATAGTTTTGTCAACTTTTCATGGATTTCTACCAGATTTTGACACAGAACATCTTGGAAAATACTGCAGGGAATAAACCAAAACATGGGTTATAAAAAGTTACACCCAAACTATAATTGGTCTGTAACTAGAGGGTTGATTTGTAGGGTTGAAAATAAATACATTTTTTGTTTTTATTTTCTTCTGTGATAGTCTGACATTTATGGTGTTAAGGTTCTTTTCCTCTCTTTTTAAGCTGTAAATTGATGTATGATTTAGTTGGTTAGTGTTATTAATTTTCAAGATATTGTGTTTGTAGATAATATGAATCAGAGCTCTTTAATATTTGCATACTAATGAAATAATTTGCATAATTAATTGGAAGTGAATTGCTTTGTGTTACTTTCAAGTTCCTTAAACTTTGAGGTCCTTAGTTTGCCCTTGAGTCCCAAAACTAGTAATGCATACATCAATGGGCTATAAACACCTTAAGAATAAAAAAATGTGTATATTTAAATATATACTTAGAACATTCTGATTGAAGTGAAAGAGAAGTAAATCCTAAGATTGAGGCTACAAATTTTGTACTCCAACACTAAGGATCATAAACTTCAGAAATTCTGAGTATTACATTAAACACTAGTATTTTACATACAACAATTTTTCACATCAACAATGAAATGTTTTATCTGTTCACAAACTTATTCAAACATTTTTGCAACAGGCTCATATATCACAAAAACTTTTATATATTTTAAAAAAGATAATTGAACTAATTTTTAAAAAATTATGTTCCAAAAATATTATGATCTTACATTGAATTGCTTTGAATTGCTAATCAAATTTAACTTTTTTCAAATTGAAGTTTATTCAAAGAAAATCATAAAATAATCTTTTTCAGAAGGGATCATGACATATTACTCTGTAAACTTAAATTTGATTCCATGCTTAGGTTGAGGCAGAAAATGGATTAATTTCAGAGAGAAATGTGTGTAGCAGTTGGAAAACTGCTGTATTTTACCCATTCATAAATATTAAAGAAAATATTTTTATTCAAGTATATTTCTCAAACTTATTTTTGCAGTTTTTCTGCACTTAAGATATGGAAGGTCCTAAACTTGTGCTAATCTTCTATCTTTCACAAAGGTTACATAAAATATTGGTCACTCTGTAAAGGCTTATACTTGTTTGTTCCCTGGGGTGTGAATTGTACCCAAGATGAGGGGTAATACAAAGATTTTTCTAGTTATTATTGACATGGTAATCTAGGATTGTGGGATATTACATCAGGAATCTTTGTTCTGGCTTAACAGTGCAATGTATCATCTTTACTTCAGTCTTTTGTTTAGACATCTCTCTCTTTCTCCTGCTTTAGTAGACAAAAGTCATAGTAAAGGTCTATTCAAGTTGTCCAGTAAAATAAAACTCTTAAACACTTATTTTTGAGGATAATTATTTTTAAAAGCATGCTTCTTTCTGTACTGTCCGTGTTTATTCTTTACTAAATATTTCCTGAATCTGTCATTTATTTTGGATACTTATAACTAACTTACCTGTAAGACATCAGTATACCAGTATAACAAAGAATTAAATTTCAAGCCATTTTCACATATTTTGCATAACTATTATATTTAGTTTTTGTGAATAAAAGAGTTCAAAACTATCATACCTAAACTTACTGACCTTTACTGAGTTGTTTGTCATTAGTGTATTTTGCCATAGTTCTCAAAACCAGTTGATTTTCCTTCCAATACCATCATGAAATGCTAGAATAAGGCTTCACAAGTGATGAATACATGATTGTAAGTTAATGTAGCACTTCTTGAATGCAACATTAAGGAGAAAGAAGTATTGTATAAATGTGTAGGACAGTTGTATATTATTATATATCTGCTTGTTTGTTAATTTCCGGTAGAAATTATTTCCGAGGAACTTCAGCGATACAACTCCTTTCTTGATTAAACCAGTTTATTCTTTCTCCATACAACAATTGTTTAATAAACAGAATTTACACAGTCACTTTAAACTTAACAACTTTTATAACACATGCTATAAATCACAGTGATTCACACACTTTACTTATGGTGCCTACTGTTCGCTTGACTCAGTTATCTCTCTCTCCCTGGCTTTCCTTGCCAGGCTTATATATTAAAAAAGAGGGCATCTCGATCAGACTAGAGTTACCGGGAAAATTCATGATCCTTCGAGAAACTCCAGCATGCATGTTCCCAGCATCACGCGACTTCTGCTGTCGTAACAGTATTTATGCTATTTTATTATTTGTATCTTGTTTCAGAATGCATATCTACAAGAAACATGTTATTGTATTTGTATGTAATATCTGTTTTAAACAATGTTATGTTTTTCCTTATTATTGTTGCATCAGCGAGATCACATGACTATTCTCACACCCTCTACTTTCTATCCTGTACTTTGGCGAATGCTCTGGCATTTACTAGATATAGGGTAGTCTGGTATATAAAAGGGGGTGACAACGTGACGGTAATAATAACGTAATGTGTGTGTGTAGATAGTGAGTAGTTGAACTGCAGTCAGAAGTATTGTTGACGTTCTTTGATATAGCGTTTGTTTTAGCGTGATTGTTGAAAATAAGTGTATCGTAAACCAGTTTTATTAAGTAAGGACTTGTGTCACTAAAGTTTTGTCGGAACGAAGTTACGGAAAGTTAATTAACAAACGGAGAAGTAACATTATGTTATCGCGGGTTTTGCTGTCAAGACAATGAATATGTAGATTTCAAAAACTACCTTATGCTTGGTGCTCCATAGAATCTTCAATTACAGTTAGAAGGAAAAATCTACTAGTTTATGAGCTGTACATTATCAATTGTTATAAAGCCAATTGGTAAACGTTTGATATTTACACTATTAACCTTGAAAATAGCACTACTTCATCTGTAGCTTGTGTTTCAATGTTTGAAGATGGAATTAATGGGAGTTCAATATAAATCATTACTGCTCAGAAGTTTTTTTTTTTAGTTAATACAAAGTTTATGTATTTCTTTTCCTTTATAATAAAAATCAAAATAATATGCTCATGAATCATGATTGTGTTGTTGAAATATGCAAATATGGATAATATTTTTAGGAACTTGATGTTATCACGGTTAAACATATAAAAACTATTTTTATAAAAAGTAATTGGCCACATAGAAGTTTTATATTTACAAAAGTGACAAAGAAAAATTATTGCCCAGCAATCAGATTATACAATGAGTTTTGAATGGTGGGGTATAAAACTGCATGTAACTGTGTTGTGATTTGTTTTATCATAATGTTTCTTGGGGTGTCTATATGAGTTCTGTAATTTTTTACATTAAATAATACTTATCACTGCTTTATTTCTTGTAGATCACCCATATAAAAACATAATGTAAAATGGGTTAGACACAACACAATATCTGCATTATAAATGTGTGATGTAAAGTGATTTAAAAAATACACAATACTTAATTAACCTTATAAAAATGTGAACAAAAAAGATATTTTAGACCAATCTTACAAAAATGCATTCCAGGCATATAGGGAGCACCCACTTACTTAGGGAGGAGGGTAATTGTTGCAAGAGGTAACCAAAATTGTATGACAGCACACACACCTTTTTTTTTCAATTATTTGTATTATTATCATTTTTATTATTATGTTTAGCTGTAATTATATTTTTAGCATTTGATTTGTATTTGTCATAGCTTTGTTTAGACCAATTGTAATATCAAACTTGGGGGTGAGAGGCACAGGATCTAAACTGGACAGGCAAAGCCCACCCACCCCTCATTTTCCTGGCCCTGTGAGAATGTGATATAAAACAGAGCCAATGTAAAATCAACAGTGTAAGGATGATACATACATGTAAGATGTCTTAAACAAGAAACAGTATCAGTCAACTTTATAAAGATGTAATAAAAAAAAAAGTGAAACAACGTTAAATTGCTGTTAAATAGGTTTGTTCCTTCAGCAGTATACCAAAGCATTTCAGGAAATAGTACATAAGTTTCCTTCACTAACAAGAAAAAAGAAGTCAGGTGCAGAATAAACACTTTTGTATGCATCTAAATTTCAAAAACATTAACATATAACAGTTTACTCAGAAGTTCTAAAAGTACTTTTAAAAACTTTTGACAGACTGAAACAGATTTTGCAGCTGATGTAATAATATGTACACCACAATGTTTAACTGATTTCATAAGTGTGACCAAAATCTTTAATTTTCTTAATTGCCCTATTTTGAGAGTTATTGTGACAAATTTTATCTCTTTTCTTACTAAAGGATGCATGGGAAGAAGCACAGAAACTTCCCCTGTATGGTCTTCTTCATGATATGCAGACTTACATCTTTAGATGTATTAACCAGACAACATCTGAACAGGAAGAGTTGATAGAGGAAAACAAGAGAGTCTGTGATGTAAGACCTTTTCAGGCAATTCTCCGTCTAGTTGAGAAAAAAGGAGACAAAGCAGAGACACAACTTAATGCACAGATTGGCTTGTTAATTGGCAAAGGTGAGATTTTCGTATTAGGTGAATTTTATGGATATATGAACTCCATCAAACAGTTAGTGCATAGATTTTGTGATTTATTTAATTCTACCTGAGTAATATCATATTTTAGGCTTTTAACTTAAAAATAATATATCAATCAGAACTTAATGCATTCAATTTAGGTAGTAATAAAATAAATGTTGCACATGAACAGACTAATTTTATGAAACTAAATAAAGCATACCGCCTATCTCAGACTACATTTCTGATGTAGATCTGTCTTTATTTCAACAGGACCTTAACACTTTTTATGATGTAGTTTCATAAGAAGTATAGTACTTTTTTCTTTTTTTTTTAAATCTCAAGTGTTAAAAGAAATTTGTGAGTTAACTGTACAACAAACTCAAATTATTCGGAAGGTTGGCAGTTTGAAAATTTTTCATAAAAACAGTTGGTCTAAAAATACCACTAACACAAACTACTGATAAATATTGATAGATACTAATAAGTGTTAGTATTTAGTTGTATAGGAAGTTGTACATTTTTGACTTTTTTTCTCTAGGTCTTCATGAATTTGATGCTCTGAAGAATCCAGAGGTCAATGACTTCAGGTGGAAGATGAGATTAACTTGTAATGAATGGACCAAAAATTATGAAAGAAAAACATGGATGGAAAAATTGTCTTATAAGTATCCGTTACAAGTAGAGAAATCTCCTGAGCTTCCATCTTTTTTATTGAAGCGAATCAAGGAAAGAAACTTAGTACTAACTGTTAGGCTGGAATGTAGTGAGGTAAAGAATCAGTCAAATGTCTAATTATATTTCAATTTTGCTTTAGAACTCTGTCTGGTAATTGTTGCTTGTTCAAAAGTGGTTAATAAACATGGTATCATTTATGCTATATTTGTATGAAGTATAGATATCTTTTCTTTCAAAATTAATTGCATTTTTCAGGTAACATGTATTGCTAGAGGCATGAAAAGTGACATTTTATGTTAGTACTTGTAACTCATTTGGAACTTTTCCAGTTTGAAAAATGTCTACAACTTTTTGAGAAAAATTGTTTTTGTATTACTTTTGAAAATTTTATGATTAGTGTGGGAATTTCATGCCCAAGTGATTTTCCTGTAGAGTAACAAGATAGTTTTGCAGAAGTATTTGGGAGTTCTCTGAGCTACTGATTTCTGAGAAATAAAGACTGGATATAGTTGCATTAAATATCTTTATTATTCACAAACACTGTGTATGTTCTTACTTGGTATGAACAACAGTCACTTTTACTGAAGAGCTAGATTTGAAACTGCTGTCTATTTCATGGTTTGTTTCAGACTGACTACAGTTTACATTACGTAAAAATGGTAATGTCAGACTTACCCAGAGTGACTAACACTATCCATGTGATAAGTCATTCTCATTTGAAAATAAGGGAGGTTGAAACCTTGATATCAACTAACTTACCATTGGAGGACACCACTATATGTTTCCACACACTGTTGCAAATGTACAGCCATGCCATCCACATTAGTAAACCTGATACTTATTGTTGGTGTTCGTTACTATAAAATATAATTTATTCTCACTTTCAAGTATTCAAACTTACGTTAATTTGTTATTCTCACTTTCAAGTATTCAAACTTACCTTAATTTGTTGTTCTCACTTTCAAGTATTCAAACTTACCTTAATTTGTTGTTCTCACTTTCAAGTATTCAAACTTACCTTAATTTGTTATTCTCACTTTCAAGTATTCAAACTTACCTTTTATAAGTAATTTAGCATATATCAGTTATGTGCATTTATACCAAGCTGTCTCTCTCTCATATCTTATGTTCCAGATGAGTTTCAAGTTCTGTGTTCCTCATTCAACAAAAACAAGTGAATTACTTGAGTATGTACTAAACAAGAAGTCCTTCTTATGTGGGCGTATAAAAGAAAGTGCTGCAGCTTATCTTCTGAAAATAAATGGCCGAGAAGAGTTCTTATTCAAAGATTATCCCCTAAGTCAGTACAAGGTACAATCAGTTTTCTAGCTCATTTTTTCTTAAGCATCTGATAAAAAACATTTCTCTGTCCTTGAACATGTGCACTTTGATTTTTCTGTTAGCTCATTTACCTTTAAGTGATTTTTACTTTTGAATTTGTGCTAATTTTTTAGATCTACAAGAGTAAAATCTAATTGTAATTTAAATATAAAAAGACATAATTAGCTTCCTTTAGTGTTCCGGGAATTAAAATCTTCATCCTAAATTAAAATCAGTAGAATGCAAAAGAAAAATTATATAGTCTGTTGCAGTTCCTTACATGATCTGAAACTATTATTAGATCTAAAGTGGATGAGTTATGATGGAAAGTTTAAGTGCTATATTTTTGTTTTGATGAAGAGTAGGTCTGCAATTTAATTTTTTCATGTTATTCTTAGTAAAAATGTTCATACAAGTATAATTACTTTACTCATTGAATATGTACAAGTGTTTATTAATTGTGAAGATATTCTTTGAACCACCTTTACAAATTTATTGCAGACATATAACTCCTGGTATGTGAAATACTTCACAGGTAAAGATAGAAACAAAAATGTCATTTCTCTATATTCTTTACTATATTCAAGCCTCTCAGCTGAAAGTCTGAGGGTTTATGATGCTAAAAATCATGTTTTGGTACTTGTTGTGGGCACATCACACACAAAGCCCATTATGTGGCTTTTCACTTAACCACAAAAACATTCTGTATTTAAGTATTTAGATCACAAGATATCTCAAAAACGAGAGAAAATATGTATCAGAAGTTGGTTTAATTATAGCATTATTTTTTATGATAAATATTTCAATTAAAATTTTATTGTTCTATTTTTTAAGATATATGATCTATATGATAACATGAAATGAAAACATACTGGTCAAGCAATAATACAAAATTTATGTTGATAGTTTTCTTACATGTCTAAATGTACTGTTATGACAGTGGAAGTCATGCGATGCTGGTAGCATGCGCGCTGGAGTTTCTCGAAGGATCATGAAGGCCCAAGTGCATTTGAGACACCCTCTTTTTAGTAAATAAGCCTGGTGAGAAAAACCAGCCCGATTGAAGGGATAGATAATTGAGTCAAGCGAACAGTAGGCACCATAAGTAAAGCGTGTGAATCACTGTGATTTATAGCATGTGTTATAAAGGTTGTTAAGTAAAGAGACGAGAAACGTATTGATTGTGAAATTACTGTGTATTACAAAGTTGTATCAAGAAAGAATAAACTATTTTTAATCAAGAAGGGACTTGTATCACTGAAGATCCTTGGAAAGAATTTATACCGGAAATTAACAAACAAGCAGATACGCAACAGTACTTTTGATTTCAGACTTTTCATGTAACTTGCTCTATTTTACAGTTTAGTGCTGTACATTTTTTAAGTACAAACGTTCTTTAAGTAGATTTTTTATTTTCCTTTTTCAGTATATTCGTCAAATGATTTCTGATGAAAAAATACCTGAGTTAATCATGATCTCCAAGGCCAATGTAGAATGTAAGTAGGCAGACAGTTTAAAACGTAGTGTAGAACCTAACTAGGCTGGCTATTGATAAACTGAATTAGAATCTAATTAGGCAAAAGATTTGGAAACAAGTATCAAATCAATGCAGTCAATTTAACAAGTTTAAAACATATGGGTTTTTAACAATTAGTGTTGAGTCTAATTAAGTAAGATTTTTATTGTCGGCTGTAGAATGTTTGTAGGCTGTTTAACACCTGGCAAAAATCCTAACCAGTCAGACTGTTTAAGAACAAAAACAGAATGTTTAAAATAATTGTGTAGAACATTATGTGTTAGGTTGTTTAACACATCCTAAATAGATTTAGTTCAATTGTCTAAGAAATATAATTCTTAATGAAGAAAAGTTTACAATAATTTAATAAAACTGTGTGCTTTAGTTTCAAGGAAAGTACAACCTAAGAAAAGGTAAAGAAACAAAAACTTGAGAATTTTAATTGGTATGACATATTTTGAAAGAGGTATAGATTTTTGAACTATAAAAAATTTTATATAAATTGATGAAGGTAATAACCATTAATAATTATTATTAAAGAACTAAACTTTTAAGTCTTTTTTTTCATAATATATGAAAAAACATTTACGATACAATTAGGAAAAATTGGTAGACGGTAAAACTAAAACAGTGAAAAGTTTCTTTCACCATTTAAGCCACTTTTTAACTCGTTCTCCCTCCACCCATTGCATTTTCTAACCATATATCACCTAAATATCTTCACCTTACATCCCATTTTAAAAACAGTATGTATAATGTATGAGTTGTTATCATGTTGTTATAGTTCAAAGCTAGTAACAACTGATGATTATTTCTATAATTGAATACAAGCCAGTGGCTGTAATTGAGTGGGATTAAATATATTTGACCATGAGCAAACACAGAATTTGCATCTTGGATTAAAAAGTAATTAACAGAAATCAATTTTGGAACAACAGCCTGTAACTTTTACAGTGTAAGCTACAACACTGGTTCCCAACTGCTAAGCTGCAAGATTTCAGCCAGTTCTCAAGATTGTTGGAAAAAAATGTGTATTTTAAAATACAGCTACTGAAGTATATTGTTTTAGAGTATGAAGTGGTCTATGAAATCTTGGAATTTGGAGCTAGCTGGTATCCAGTGGGAAAAGGTTGGGTACCACTAAACTAATTACAGCTATGCATTTAAGTTTTAAATTTCACTGCTTCAAGTATTTAAAAATAATATTTGTACATTCAGTGCATAAAGTGTTGCTTTATGTTAACTAACTATGATGTTTTGTTCACTACTTGAGTCAAGTACTGGTTACATGCTCTTCTATAACAAAAACTGGCATGGAGGCTCTCTCTTTTTAGCACTTTCAGGAACTTCTAATCCAGCCCTTTTTTCTCATTTAATATATCTGTTAGTTATCTGTAACTTCTCTTTTTCACCTATTGATTAGATTTAGTATTAATGTATTAAAATTTTTCATTGTGGAAAAACAAGTCACTTGGCAACATACTACTTATGTCACATTTTTTTTACACCCACATCGACCCCCTTCTTTTTTATATGCCAGTTATTGACTGTAAAATTGTAAATTAAGAAGTTAACAGTATTTTAATTAAGCAATACTGCATGTTTTCAAAATTACAATAGAAATTAAATAGGATTTAACACCTTGGAAAGCCTAAAAGCTGATCACCAATAGAAATATTTTAATCTGCATGGCAAGTTGTGACACTATGAATTAGGCAGTAGTTAATTTAATCACTTTTTACTGGCCTGCTGTCACAGTTAGTTTGGCTTCATTTTATATCTATAATGAAAATATACAACAACATATAAAATATATGTGTATTTTTTTATTGTGTGCTAATTTCTAAATCACCCTGTATTTCCTTCAAGTGGAACATGACAATATCTATGAATCAATTGATGATATTTTCACAAAGAACACTAGTTCAGTGAATGGGACAGTGACTTTAAGCAGGAAAAAGACTCACACAATCTCAGCATGGACTATTCAAGACCCTTTCATAATCAAGATTGACAGTGTCTGCAAGTTGAACTGTGAGGATGAGATACAGGTAATGTATCAAAAATGAAGCTCTGTATATAAAAAAACATGTTGAAGGTAACAAAAATTTAAAACTTTCGCTTGTTTTCATTAACATAAGATATTACACATATTAGCTTAAAGAGAGAAAAAAAGAGCTATTTTTCAAGATTTTCTGCTCCTTACGATTCTAGAAACCCAGTGTAAGATTGAGGCTAATAAGCTATTGTAATATTCAATACACGAGTCTTTATTTAATTGTTGCAACAATGAGGTTTATACAGTTTTGTATCTAATGTTTTTTGATTTGCAAATAAATTTTAATTTTCTATAATGTTATGCCCCAAAAAACAAAAGAAATTAGCTTAAATATTGTTGCGTCAGCGAGGTCACGTGACTATATCACACCACTCCTTCTCTCGAACCTTCGGGAATTGTCGGGAGATTACTAGATATAGGGTAGTCTGGTATATATAAGATGGTCACAACGTGACGGGATCAATGTGTGTAGGTAGTGAGTAACTGAACTGCAGTCAGAAAGTATTGTTGAAGTTAACATTAGTTGTTATAGCATTTGTTAT